TTTAATAAGCGATATGAGAAATTTTTTTATGAAGTACAAAATTAAATCTTTCAAGTTTGATGATTACTTTAATACCGTATGCTGCCGTTTGATAGTAGCATATGGTATTAAAGTAATGTCATGTAACTCTAATAGAAAAAAACTAATGATTAAAGATTGGTAAATATGAAGTTCTTAAAACTGCAAAAATTATAATCAGTTAAAATTTTTCTGCAAAATAACAATTAAAAATGATATGTTAAAATTGAAATATTTTAAATTGATCAATTATTTTTGAATATCAAATAATTTTAAAAAATATATATAAATTAAGCAGTGATGAAATTTTATTTACTCAAAAATTTTAGATTCTAAAATTTTATTTACTTAAAAATTTTAGATTCTGAATCGGATATTGATCTTTTGGTGCCAGTGAAAAGTTTATTAAATGAACGCGTAGAACTTTACAAAGCTAAAGGTCTTGAAGGATTTCCAGCCGTTGGAATTAAGGTACTTTTAAAAAACTGTAAAATTTTATTCGAATTGACAGTTTGAATGAGACATTTTTTTTTTGCAACTAAAAAATTTCATTTTTTTTAATTTTTTGCAAACATTCAATTTAAACATTTTATGGCAACAATAATGCAACAAAAAAATTATTTGCTGATAAAAAAAATCGATTAAAAAATTTACAAAAAGCTAAAAAAAATGCTCTCATATTTTGATTTGTTAAGTATTAGATAAGTTGAATTTCATAATGAAAATTGTAAATTGTATTTCTGATATATGATTAATGACAACAAATTCTCATGAATTAACTTTAATTTTTTTTTTTTTTGCAGCGTGGCGTGGAAATTGTTGTACCGTATCGACAGTACCTTCCGCGGAAATTTTTCCGAAATTTTGCATTTACAGCGGTAGTACGACCGGATGATCGTCAAGGAGGATATTTGTTTGCTGTTGTTAATCCACTTGATACTGTTGTTGATCTCGGTGTTTCACTGGAATCTGCCGGTTACAAAACATTTCCAATTTTACTTTTAAAAAATTTTGACAAAAAAAAAAAATTACATTAAACTGT